GGGGGGGGGGGGGGGGGGGGGGGGGAGGGCGGTTGTCATCAGCGATGATCCATTAAACGGGCAGAGAGGGCTACGTGAATAGCCAAAAACACCGGCGATGATAGTCATCATGACGAGGAAACAGACCTTGACACACGGCACACCGTTCTCTCTCCCTCTCCCAACTCTCTGTTTCTCGCTCTCCCAACTCACCATGCTCAAGATGAGACCCTCGAGCTCCTGGCGCTTCTCCGGCGTCATGTCCACGATCTCCCCAGATTGAGTCGAGTGGCGCGTGCAGTCCGCAAGAACTGGGCGCGTTTTTATTTTTTTTTTGGGGGGGGAAGAGGGGCCCAAGTCAAGACGACAGGATCGCCATTGCATTAGGTTCTAGACGTATGTAGCCGCCACGATGACCATCGTTCAAAAGCGGACCGCATTCGCGATCACCCTAATGAACACAAGATAACACCTGGACCGATTTTCAAATCTCGATTTCTCAACAACAGAAAGGCGGCGTTGGGACCGTCTCGTAATGAGATTTCCAAAAATGTATCGTTTATTTTATTCATCTCCTACGTCGTGGAGTAATCGAGCTTGAAAATTGGTCCAGCGGGTGTGTTATCTTGTGTCATATATGGTAGTAGGTTTATGAGGAACCAGAGCAGAGAGGGGGTGACGCAGACCCTTTTCCCTAACCCTAACCCAACTTCCCCGACTGAACGTTTTAGCCAGCATAACTACACGAAGGCTTAATAGACTGTTTCGGAACACAACCGGCACTTCTAGATTTAACTTCTAGATATAGGAAGAACCACGGTTCCCGGAAATTTATTTGATGGAAACCACGGAGTTGAACGCGGCAAAAAAACACGCCGGGGGCGGGCAAGGCGGCAGAAAAAAAAAAGGGCAGCAGCTTGCTGCACATCACATCATCACACATCGCCACACGGCGGTGTGCTCTTCATTCTGCACCACCAGCGCTTCAAAGCAGGTTGTCGTTGATGAGGAGGTTGACACAGACCACGGCCATGGTGGTTGAGGGGGCTGCACAAAGTTCAATCTGTGACAAGGGTAATCAAGGCGCCTCACTTCTCTTTTTCTTGCTGTGTGCGAAGAGCGACAGGCAGACCTTTTCCACGAGAGAGAGGACAGAAAACACCAACCAGCAGCAGGAACCAGCAAGAGAGGACGCACACCCCGCTANGCTGCACAAAGTTCAATCTGTGACAAGGGTAATCAAGGCGCCTCACTTCTCTTTTTCTTGCTGTGTGCGAAGAGCGACAGGCAGACCTTTTCCACGAGAGAGAGGACAGAAAACACCAACCAGCAGCAGGAACCAGCAAGAGAGGACGCACACCCCGCTATATAGCAGAGCTCATCACCGAGAGCCGTATCTAGACAGGTGGTTTGATCTTCCTCTTTCTCCGCCTGATGCTTCTTATCTCGGCCGGCAACAACCCAGCAGCAACAGCAGACAGAAACACACACACACACACACACATACACCACAACACGCACACGCCTGCTTTTTTCTTCTTCCGCACGCAGACCAACCAACCACCCCCAGATAGATGTAGGTCTGACCTTCGTCGGCAGCAGCGATGGAGTCCACACAACAGCACCACCTTCCGTGGTACCTGCTGTATAGTTTGATTACATCAGGCTTCCCTCTACTTCTGCTGCTGCTGCTGCTGTGCTGCTGCTGCTGTTGTTACAGTGATGATGGTCTCTTTGCTCCTCCTCTGAAGCTTAAGTCTATTTCTTCTCCTGAAAGCAAATTCGATTTAGAAAAAAGCAGCGCCAGCGGTCTTCTTTTCTAAATCTGAGAGCCACACTCCAGATTTAGGAGCTCAATGTTCCCCCGCTTTGAGGAAGGTTCCCAGAAATTGACCCTTCTAAATCTAGAAGCTATTTCTAATTTTGTAAAAAAACGTTGGCCGAAACTCGCCAATGTCGAAAACATATTCGTTGAGGAAGGATGGGAGGGGCGTAACCGAACTTCCTAGAAATCAGCCAGTGGCATCTTTGTCTTTCGGTTAGAATCGACAAGAAAATGACCGCACGAAGAGCAAGTGGGGGNGGGGCGTGTACTCGTGTAGACCATCGATCTCGAACCCTACAATGCCAGGACGAAGAAACAAGCCGGGTTTTTTGGGGGTGTTATCCAACGTCATACATCGGCTCGCTCGTGTCACCACCGTACGTATGCATGCGGGGGTCAAGATTATTAGACTACCGAGGGTTGCGTGATGTAAGATATCATACCCCCTAGACCGATTTTCCAAACTCGATTACTCGGTAGAAAGAGCAGTGACGGTGCCGACAATGGCGGCGTTGGAATGATCCGTCTCGTCGAGAGCTTTCGTAAATACGTAACTTGAATTTCGTTTATGTTTATGCATCCTCTTCGTCGTGGAGTAATCAAGCTTTGAAAATCGCTCCGGGGGGTGTTGTTCGAGGTCACACTTGTGCTTACTCGTTTCGCTTGCCCCCTTGCTGTAGAGGCGCAGGGTTCCGTCCGGGTTGGTGATGAGAACGCTCGACCGTTTCTTGGCAGAGTTGAATGGGTACTCGCAGTCGCGTTCCGAGTTGAAGAACGTCTGAAGGCGGGGAAGATGGAAAAACGCGGGCGCGGGGGCGGTTGCGGTTATCGGGGGGATGTACGGGGACATGCGCGAGACAAATTATAGCACACCATTTTTAGGGTATGATGGCCTGTGACCACGGGAACCGACCGCGCCAAGTGATACATCGGTACGGAGAGATGAAGGTACTGGGCAGAGAGATCGGAACGGTTTTGAATGTGAGGACAACATCAACCAAACCTACATCACCCCAACAATTTCTCGGAGCTGTGGTCGTCACAAGTAGTACATACCACCACGCGGCAAAGTGGGGATCACAGAATAGTGCTGCTTGCATAGGTTAGTTTTTTCGTGTTTTATTTTTCTCCCATCATTGGACTCTGTCGTCTGCCTCTCTGGCCCCTATCCTCCACTTCTCACAGCTAGACGACCCAACCGGGGTCACAAAGGAGGGGGGGGGTCGGACCTCCTCCTGCGGTTCCTGCCTGAGATATTTTCATCGCGAGAAGGGTACAGCAATCCCTTCCCTCGCGACTTACGAAGTCGATCAAGTTTACTAACAACGAGCTTGCAGCGCGTCGCTTCCAACGGAGTCCAGGATTTAAAAAGCGAGAATAAACTCACTCTGTCGGGACTCGAACCCATGACCCGGCCCTTAGCAGGCTGCGAGGCTACCCACTAGACCACCCACCGGGGCGACCGGCGTCACTGGCAGGTGATGTTGGGGGTACTGTCATCGTGTGACAAGAGATGGAATATTGAAGTTGCTCCATTCTCTGATTAGCGCCGGTCCTTGTTGAGGTCTAGCCGCTCTCAACTCTCTACCCGCTGCTCTCAACTCACGTCTTTGACGTTGGCCGCATTGAAGCCCCACTCCGCAGCGAGGATGACCAGGGCCCCCTCCGTGGCGCTACCGATCACCTTGGGCTTGTGCAGCTCGTCTCCCTGCACGGCCGAGAAAAAAAGAGACAAGCGAGACGGGCGCCGACAACGTGAGCGTGACTTCAACCAAAGACGCGAGGCGTTGCGGCGTGTAGTGTTGGCATAATTGCAACGGATTCCGAAGGTCAAGTCAGCTTTTTTTTCCAACCTTAAAATCAATCCGATGCCGACTACTCGTGGGGGAACAAACACGACACAAACCTTCAGGGAAACGAAAATATTCGCCTTTCCCTCTTGCCAGTTTTATCTCCTCCCTATCTCTCTCTCCTTCGTCCCTCTTGTGTGTCTCTCTCTGCCCCTTCCTCAGTCTCTTGATGTTCGTCTCTCTCTCTCCTCCCTCAAATGTCTCGTTATGCCTTAAATACCTGTCTCTACCTCCACACCTCTCCGTCTTATTTCCCACTGTTCTCCACCTGTGTCTGCCTGCCTGTCTCGGTCTCTTTATCTCTCCCTGAACATCCTCCCTGTGTCTCTATATCTTGTCTCTACATATCTTTCCCGCCCACTGTCCGCGTCTGCCTCCCTTCCCCCCCCCCCCCCACCCTCTCTCTCCCGTCTTACGTTCTCGTCCTTGAACCGAACAGTACAGGAGCGGTTGATGGCGATGTTCTGCGACACCAGGTCGAGCGACGATGGCGACAACGACTGCGCCCGCTTGATGTCAGCGCCACGGACAATCTTGTCCGAGAACCACCCCTCCACGGCGGTCATCTGGTTCTCCGTAAGGGTTCCGGTCTGCAAAAAAAAAAAAGACGTACAATATCGTTTGTACGGTGCTGAGAGAAGACACATCACATCGGAGAGCCTTCATATCACGACTGTGGAACTCCTCGAAAGGGTGTGAAGAGATATTCTAAAACAAGTGAAATCATCGAAATAACAACCACAAAATCGGAACAAATGCCTGCCGTGTACCACTTCCGACAACATGGCGACTTGGCGTCAAACCTCAAACCACTTCGGTTGTGGCTTTTCAACTTGGCTGGAGAGGCAAGAGCCTACCATCGTGCTCTGACAACGTGCCTCTATCTCAAGCCCTCGTTTGTCGGGGGGGGGGGGGGG